TGTATGATTATAATTGATTTTTAATTGATTCGGAATCGATTAGAAATCGATTAAAATTCACAGTAATTATTATAAATCCATATACGTTGTTGCTACACAATAATGACTATAGCCTACGAAATAGATCGGAATGCTAGTACCTCAACGCCTAAATTCTTATGCCTATACAGTATAACTATATTCCTACAGCTATATTTTTAAGACTATTCTTACACCTATGCCCGTATGACTATACCCATATACCTACATTCTTATGAATATACTCGTATGGCTATATCCTTATACCTCCTCTAACCTTGTCAGGTGCGGCTAATTCAAAATTAAAGCGCAAATTTTTTTTTGTTTTTTTTGTTTTATGTGAATAGAACTCATCGAGTTACATAAGAAAAATACTACGTTAGGCATGTGAAAGTTGATTTTCGCTGGACAAAAATTCAAAATAGTTAAGAAGGGGCTTATGTTTGAATACTTCGATCATCAAAATTTTGTTTTCAAATAAAATTCATGTGACATTCAAAACCAGCATAAAAAACTGAATCGAATTACATAGATTTTATTACAAAATATTTTTCATCAGAATTCGATCCCTATTTCTTCTGTAGCTTATTCGAAGTGATTTCATCGTAGTACCCGCTCGGATCAAATTTCGATGAAAAATATTTTGTAATAAAATCTATGTTATTCGATTCAGTTTTTTATGCTGGCTTCGAATTTCACGTGCATTTTATTTGATAACAAAATTGTGATGATCGAAATGTCCACACATGAGTCCATTTTTAATTATTGTACGGTTACTTATCATTTGCACTCATAAGCCAAATAAAATTTTAAAATATTATTAAAACTTTAAACTCCAGTCAACACTAAAGTTACGAAATAAAGCTATTTGTTTTTCCAAAACTACAAAAACTTAATTAATTTAATTTTCAAGTTTTAATTGATAAATACCCATATTTAACAATTTTCACTTTTAAGTTCGAATCGCATAAAGTTTAGGAAGATGTAGAGTTCGCTCTTGTTTTCTATGCAATTTCTATGTTTTAGTTTAGGAAGGTGTAGAGTTCGCTACTGCTTTCAATGCAATTTTATATTTAGTTTCGGAAGTTATAGAGTCCTCTAGAGCATCCAGCATTAATCTAACTGAATGTAAAAAGGATTTAGAAATGTCGCGGGTGTGGATGTGGGTGTGGGTTAACAAGACAGCCTCGATCACATCCACACTCAGCCACACCACACACCCACACCCAACAGACAACATTAAATCGATGCTATGAATGAATGAAATTCATATGAAAGTTTTATTTACTTGCCTAATAGATGTTTGCCTATGTTTATATATCGATTTCATTATCTCATCACTATATTTAAAACAACAATATTGATATGACTTTATTTTCGACTGTAACTAGTTTATAGGATCAATTCACACATATTGATATTATTTCAGAGTTGAACAAATCGATGACAGTCAACATATTTTTTATCGTTCTTATTGCATAGTTTCATATCGATAAAGGCTCACTATACATTTGCTTTTATCCCACTTTTTTTTCTTACTTTAAAGATAAGTTCAGTCTTCTATTAAATTATTTATGTATGGTATAGACAAACGAGATTCAATAATTGTATTAACTAATAGAAAATAAATGAAGAAAATTAAATAATTTAAATCGATATTTACTTACATGAATGTCGCTCATTTTCAATAAAGATATAATTATCTTTGAGTTACTCGAATAGAAATTTGTTAAAAAGATCCTAGAAAAATAATCGAGACCTTATAGAATAGATTTATATGGAACTAGTGATACTATCTCATCATTTCTGGTAGAAATCAGATTACTTTTTTTTTTTAGAAAAACTCATCAATGTTAATCCGATGCTTACTGGCTTGAACTGAACTGGAACAATAATATTATCTTTATTTCAAATTCAGTAACATTTTCATAGACAAATATCAATTAACTTAGATCATTTTCGAAATGGTATATTAAATAATTGTCACTAAGACGATGAATTAGCGAATTTTTATCAGAAAATATAAATCGAACGATGACAGAATAAATCATTAAATATTTGTCTTTCTATAGATCTATTCTTATTGAATAATACAAATAAAATAATCTATTCATTAATTCTATCCGAGTATTGAATCTCAATGAAATATCTATAAAATATTTATTTCAATGTAAACTGATCTTATTATCATCACTATTTAAATAACTTATCATCTTTTTTTTTTATTCAGAATCGTTTTTCCACAACAGGACAATACTGGTTTTTTTTGTATTCTGATATAAAATTCGATAAAAGAGAATAAGACTGTTCTCTAAATTTGGCATTTTTGAGATTGAATTCGTTGAAGTCTAGTCGGAACTAACAGCTGTTCTGCAATTAAAATCAATGTTTATTTACTGTTTAAAAGGTTTCTATTAAATAAATTTCTAAAGCATAATAATTCATATTAATATAAATGTGAAAATCATTCTAAATAGTATGAATATATAATCAGTAAAATGACATCTTATTAAAATGATATTTTATTTATCTTGTTTATAAATAGTTTTCTATACCTTGTGTCCTAAAAGTCCCTTCCTAAAAATTTTTTCGTTCCATGTCACTATTGATTGGACTTCATTGACTAATTCTTTTTTTTGGATAATAGATAAATGCATAGAGTTTTTTATTATTAAAGACGAACTTCAGAAGCATTGTTAAAAGTTAAGACATTTAGCCGAAAAAACAAAAACTTTGTCTGTTTTCTCTTTCCGAAAATACTCATGGATGATATGTGTTTTAATTGCTTGAATTTTGATTTGGTGCTATTCATTTTGTTTTTGTACAGAGATACCGAAAAAAAATTCTGTAAAAAGATCACTCTAGTATTAGACTAGTTAAAGATTCGAGTCACTCAACAACTCGAAGTTATTAAAAAGTAAATGCTATGTAATACTTTTCTAGAAAAAGAAAACAGATAAAACTTTTGTATTTTAGCTAAATGTCTTAACTTTCAACAATGTTTTTGATGTTCATCTTGAGCAATAAAAACTCTGTGCATTTATCTATTATCCAAAAAAAAATTAGTCAATGAAGTCCAGACAATAGTGAAATGAAACGAAAAAACTTTTAGGAAACACTGTATAAGTATTTATTCTAGCAATGATTATTCATCAATAAAACTAAATGTTGACAATGAAAATTCATTGAATTTTCTTTTCAAATCTAATCTATTTACAATTAAACTGTTGAAACAAATCTGACTGATTTTGTTTTGTAATTTATTTAAATTTGTTGATTTTTAATGTGAGTTATTCTATTGTTTCAAGGTGATTGATAAAGGTAGAGAAAAATAAAAGAATTGATGACGATATTTAATTGAATACTGGCGTCAATTTATCTTTGATATTATTTTTATTTTCACGTTAATATTATAAGATAAACAAATTGTCAAATTCTTATTAAATGCAATATCAATTTTAACTTTCGATAATTAATAGTAGAAAGATATATATATCGGGTGTACCAAAAGTTTTGCGACATTTGGTGGTTTTTATATATCTCAGTTCAGAAAAAAGATAAAATCTTGAATTTAATTTTGAAATATGCGCAATTCAATTCTCTACAAAAATGTATTTACCTTAATTTAAAGTAATAGAGCTAAAAGTTTTTATGGGTCGAATAGTGTGCTTATATGACTTGCATCTATGCCCCACACTTTTTTTTATAAGTTATTCCTTCTGTGGGAAGGAATATTTTGCATTTACAAATAACAGTTTGCCAGATAGCTCTTGAAAGACCCGGTTCATTGCTTATATATTCAACATTCATTCTTTGAATTTTTTTGCAAAGCAATAGTTCGAAAATCTCAAAATTTTCCTTCGATTACCCCTTTCTGAAAAAAATCTCTTAAGAATGTGATCCATAGTGAAACCGAGTTCACCTTTGCAATATTCTGCAGAAAATAAACTGCTCTTTCTACTTGAAGCTCAAAAAACATTTGTCAAAGCCATTCAGTTTCACAAGAACTCTGAACATCGACTCCAATACTGTTTTTACAGTAGCATATCAAACAGGCCACCTTTATTACACAGAAACAAATTATAATTGAACACAGACAAATTACTCTGAAAGAGCAATGATATGTAATCGTATTGCTAATAATTAGGTTTTTAAGCGCCTGTTTACAAGAGGAGAAAGTCAGAAGAAAATGAAGTACAAACAGCCGTGAGACATAGATGCAAGTCATATAAGCACACTATTCGACCCATAAAAGCTTTCAACTCTATTATTTTAAATTAAGGTAAATACATTTTTGTAGAGAACTGAATTGCACATTTTTTTAGAACTAAATTCAAGATTTTATCTTTTTTCTGAACTGAGATATAAGAAAAACATCAAATGTCGCAAAACTTTTGGTACACTCGGTATACGTATATATAAAGTATATTCAAATTTCTATAAGATAATCATATTAATCTTCATCGAGTGTAGAATGGCTTTTTTTTAATAATACTCATTATAATAGAAACAAACACTTTTCTATTGACTGGTTTTTTAGTAATGCAAAAGAAAGCGACTAAGAGAAAAAAAAAAGTTTTTCTGTCGTCTATGTCATTGACTTGACGTCAGCTTGCTTTATCATATAAATTTTATTTTTCCTTTCGCCTTGCTTTGTTTTTGTTAGTCGATAGAGAACATCACTGGTTCTTTTTTTAGGCACGTTCTCTACATTGAATAAATGAAAGGTTGAATATTAGAAGGAGAGAAAACTAAAAAGAAAAAGGTGACGATGATCGTAACTAGTCAATGTAGCTTGTGTCGTTGTCCCTATTGGTTGTGAAAGACCCCATTTTATTTCAAAAGCCAACTCGTCCAACCTGCATATAATTAATTAAATTAAACGATTCTATTGTTAATATGAAATGAAATAAAATAAAAATGATTGTTTTTATTGAAGATTATTATATTAATTCAATCTTCTATAATATCATTAAAAAAACATGCAAATGTCTCAAGTAAGACAACAACCAATTTCATGGTCATCAGTAGGAATAGCCGATGATGATGGTATTGAACATTTCAAATCAGTTGATTCATTATCAATCAATCATGGATTTTCTTTGAACAGAGGTTACCATTAGATATATCATTCGAATTTGTTTTCTTGTTTTATTGTTAATATATCCGTAAATATTTGTTTTGTTCAGTATTGAACAATATTCCAATGCAAGCAAAATATGGAATATTGAACAATCAAGGTGAAATACTTTTTTATGCATATGAAGGTACATAAATAAAACAGATAATATATTTAGTAATAAAATATATTTATCCATTTTATGCTAATCAAGAATCGGATTTTCAACCCATTTATTGTATCACTCGCAGAGGATTTACAATCCATGTTATCGACAATAATAGTCGAGCAAGTCAAAACTCTTTTCGTTTTTTTTTATTTACAAAAAAAAACAAACTTGTTTTACTATTAGGAACTAATTCGAGTTCATCGCCAATTACAAAGTTCGGGATTGTATTATTGTGGTAGTGATAAAAATTGTATGCAACAAGTTACTGTTGAATGTCCACCAGGACGCATTATTGGGACTGTTTGTCAGGAGTACTAACAGAATTAAATAGTAGATAATCATTAATATAACTATAATTTAGAGGTAGTGCTTACGCGAGGAATTATGTCATTAAAGACGTAAATGATAGATCGATGTTAACTATAATGGGTCCAGGCTGCATTTGCAACGGATCTTATTCTTGTGGTTGTGAAAATAAATACACAGTAAGATAGATTTTAATATATTTATTCTTATATAGATTCAATAGATAATCATTGTTTTTCAATCTAAAATATAAATAAGAAATAAGAATTTGTTTTTTATTATTTTAATTGTAAAAAAATTATTTAAGATAAAATGATAGATGATTGATTGTTTGTTTCTATTTATTAACTAAATAGTTATTCGGTACTGATCGAACAACAGAAATAGGATCAATTGATAAGTTATATCCGAACAGTATGCAAATATCTTCAGCAAATCCAGTTGCTTTCACATTGAACTGTAAGTTAAAAAAAATAATTTGTTAAATTTATTAATTAAATAACGAAAATCTTCTCATCATAATATAATTCAATATTTGTTTGTAGTTCCAATGAATCTTGATACTAATATGAAAATATTGGTACTTGGTGCTCTCTTTCTTATTGTAAGATTTCTTTCTAAACTTATTCAAAATTTATTGATGTGTTTTTTTTTAATTTAATCTATAGGATATAGGCAACTATAAAATGGTTCGTTTAAGATAAATGAAGTGTAACATTTCAATGATTTATTATTTTTAATCAATTGTATATATTTACTGACATCGATCTATCTCATATTTATATCGTTATCTTTCATATTTTAATTTAAAAATTTTTATTAATTTATTTAAAGAGATATAATAGTTGAACTAAGTTTATTTTCTTTTATTTTTGTTCGATATTTGACCGATGTGTTGCTCTTTGTGAAAAATTTTTGTTAAATAACCGATGAAGACAAGTATTACAGTGGAATATAATATAAATATATATATGCTAATGACTTTCAAGTTTCTTTTTCAAAAAAGATAAAAAGACTAGTTTTAAAAATCTCTTAGACTTATTCTTGTCATAATGCATTATTTCATAGAGTAATAATTGATAATAATGTTAAGAAAAAAGACAAGAAAGATTTATTGAAATGATCATTGACAATAGGTTTATATCAATGATTAGAACTATTTATTTATCATCTTGAATTGAAAAGCATGTATTAGTCGATGAAATTGTTATTATAATGTTAATCTATCCTAGAGATAATCTTTATAAAACAAGTTTTTGATTATTTTCATTCACTTCTTTAAAAAAAAAGAGAAAACATTGGAAAATTTGATAAAATATTGATTTTTTGAATATTAAGAAGAAATAAGATCGCAAAATGAATATTTTTTATTAATTTATATTCATTGATATTATTTTAGTTTTCAAATATTTTATTGATAAATGTATAGTTTTAATATAAATCGTCATGACATATTATCTGATTGTCTCTCAATAAATATATTCTTTTAATTAGAACAAGATGAATACAATAACTTCTTCCGATTCGAGGATCAACTAGTTACAAGAGAATCCGCGAGACCACTTCGGCCATCGCTAAAATTTTGATTTATGATTTAGGTATCTTAAACGATAGACCATCATTCGAAATCTCTAAATCCAAAATATTAGCTCTTTCTGACTTGCTCATGAAAAATTTCAAAGTATACAAGTGACATACCTTCGACATTTGATCCAAAAAATCGCGATTTTTGAGTACTTTTAGTATTTTGTATTTTTCTCTGCATCTGAACATTCATTTGGGTTCGAAGACGTCTCAAAAGATGTGGAAACGTTTTCTCTACAAATCTGGGTAATTCTGTATGTTCTACAATACTATTCACCAAGTAATAATCTTCATGTATGGGCAAAAATGTCCATTAGTTAAAATAAAGATTTTCTAGTATTTTGACTTTAGCCATGCTGGATCATGCTATCACAAAATGATTTATATATTTTCTGAAAGCCCGTTAAATTTTGTATCGTAGAAGATATTACTTCAGTAGACTAATACTCCAGCGAAAATAATTTGTCCATAGCAAAAATGTAGATGGGTGATAGCCCTCTCTATCCATTCTGACCCATGATCAGAATATTAAATATTTGATACTCATTCGAATCAAAATTATGACTTCAAATTCGTAATCAGCATGAAAAACTAATTACAAAAATGTTATTTGCTTGAATGTAAAGTTAATTAAGTAAAAAAATATCTTGTCAAATAGGATGGGTGTGGGTATGTATGAAAAGAAAATACACACCCACACTCTGATTAGATTTGATCTGCTTGAAATACTATAAATATTTGTTGAATAGCTAACTAGCGAGTAAGACATATGAATTATCCCGGTACAGTCTTCAGAGCCAAACCCAAACTGTAAATGGACCTGTTGTTCTAACAATTCAAATCTAAATTCTGCTTCTTTTATTCTTGAACTTGAATTCAATATTAAGCCATTCAGTGTCGTCAAATTGGGTAATCATCCATATAAGAAACTCAAAGTTTCAAAACGATTTTAGATCCCTATGCCAAAGATTGGTTTTATTCTTAGTGATGCGATATTTGTTAGTATAGTATTCTAATGTGAGTTCCATATTTTAGCTCCATCGGAACTGCGTTGACAATCTTTTTCTGTGTATAGCTAAGGGACACTCATGTGTACATACAATTTCAACTAAATAGCCTACCATAGCTTGAGAAATCCTATGCCGAGCGAGACCCTAATCGAAATTAGTAATACACTCTAAGAACAACTGATACTTTTTCTGAAGAAAATTTTCAGGTTGAAAGTTCACATCATGACTGCTCTTTTATAGATTATTCAGAATTCGCTTATGGTGACTTCTCAATCACAGTTTTGTTTAACAGTATACACGCTGTTTAATATATTATATCGTGTTAATATAGTGTTCGGTTTATAGTTCAGGTCTATGGCACCGATTCGAAACCCGATACGCTAACCCAAATAAACTTTAGTGGAATCTATTCACGATGAAAATAAGGCTCGGAGAACGGAAGACAGCACGGAATCTTCTTCCAGTAAATAAAAAATCGATTGCCAGATCAAAGCTCAAAACGCTAGTGGATCAAATCGAAACGACCAATTTTCTATAAAAATAGTCGAATAATAGGATTAAACTACTTTTGACGAATAAATCACATTTATCAAAAAGGGTTTAAACGAAAACGTTGTCCTCTTCACTAAGTAATGTTCAAAATTTTGGCAGACTATCAATCTTGTATTAAATTTAATTTTGAGACCTAATGAGATTGGAAAAATAAAAAGATCAAGAAAGTATCTGCCCATTGCAGAATATTTTCGTTCGTATTATACATACAGGACTTATTTTTGGATGAGTTCATTGATTTTCTGTTTTAGAAGGATGTTGATGTAGATTTTCGTTTCATCCATACCTACATGCGCTCTCATATATATATAACGAAAAAATTCTTCTGATCTCAAGGAAAGAAGTTCTAGATCATAAGATATTCGTGTCCAGTACTGAATGATAAGACTTGTTTTATACAACTAGACATGTATTGCAATGGATCATGTGTACAAGGAGTTATATAATGTTGTGTTTTTTGCTAAATTTTACAATGAAAGTTTTATTTGAATTAGTTTAAGAATATAAATAATTTTTAATGAAAATTCATGAGCGTAATATTCAAATTAGTCGAGAGGTTTGTTGGTCAGATTCAATAGAAGGGTTTTAAGAAAAAAAAACAAATGAGTCTGGTGCAGAAAACAGTCCGATGTGCGAAAAACTTTTTATGGTTGTGTAAAATTTCTAGTTGGATTGACAAATGTAACGGACGCCTTTTCTTGTTTTGATGCGCTGTTTGACTGATGTAGACATGTTCGAACAATAATAATCATAGTCACGATGGTTAAGAAAAAGGCAAGGAAATTGAAAACCAAACACACGATCATCAAGAATTCTATATTAGATAGTCTGCAACCGGCATAATTGTAGTTGGAACATGCACGTTCCCACGTTGCAACTCCAAGACAGTAGTAAACAAATCGTTCTATTCCATTCTTCAGTTCAAAAAAATTCAAAATAAATACAATTGTTAGAACATATAATTTTTGACGACATAAGAGTAACGTGATAACGCCAAGGGCAAACAGATAAGTTCCAGACACAGTTCCAAGAGGAAGTATCGTAATGAAAGAACTAAGAAGATAGAAAAATTGAATATTGTCGGAAAAAGAATATGTCATTTGTAGACTATTACCTGCTGGTTAAAATTGATAAAACACCGATTTCGCATCCAATGCAAACTATTCCGATAATAATGCATGACACACCTGCAAAAATCAATTGTATTGATGCTGATGGGTCAATGTAATTGAATAAAAACATCCATGGTTGTTCATTGTTGGTATAATGGATCACATTAGGTATCTCTTCCATTTCGAATTCGGATTCAGCATTTAGAGCCATTTCATAGCCTTGTGGTAGTAGTGAATTGTATCGAGAAGGCTTGTATTTGTTATACTTCTCACCTAAGAGAGCTGAGTTACAGTCAAAAGTCTTTCATTTAACATATATATTCTTATTTCAATTAATACTTTCCATTCAACAGTCTTACGATGATCATCAAAACAGACATATTTCCGATTTTAAAAATGATAGAAATAATCATTTCTCACTACTATTTTATACGATTTTCTTAATCATATTCCAGAGGGGAATATTCTATTCTCTGTACTTATTTATTCCTCATAATCTGAACGGAAAATTTTTACAATGATAGGTTCTATGAACCCGACGCATTACACAAATAATGGAAAATCTGCAGTTGGTATTAAATTATTAATTCATCTGTAATACATACTATTTAGCATGTACAACAGCATGGTTTCACAAGAAATTCGATTACTGTAACTCATAATTTATGTTTCTCGAGTAATAACCTCTCATCATATTCCAGCAGGGTAACTATAAATATTTTTATAGAATTCTTTAATTACATTCTCTATGAATATTTTTAAGTAACGTGCAATATATAGTGTTTTATAGCTCGAACATACAAGAAAATACGAATTATTTTTTAGTAGTTTTACAATACGTACTGTCGACGACATATCTAACATATTTTTCGATGAAATATTCTTGAGAATAGATACGTTATTAAAAATCCTTGTCATTTGGTCTCTACTGATGAGTATTATGATGAATTGGACAAGTTCTCCTAGAATCTTCGGAAACTATGATGAGGATAATAAGAGCGCACTAAAAATTTGATTTAGCTCTTAAAGATATTTCGAGAAATGTAATTTGGTCATATGACTTACTCGACATCCAAACGCTACCACTTTACTAAAACGTTTTTTTTTTCTAGAATGTTTCACAAGAAAACTAGAATCTCATTTCATTATATGTATGTGTTATATTTGCGTGAGGCGATATTTGCTATTAATAAACGTTCTTATCAGATTCCTCATTAAAAAATATTCCTGCTTGTATTTTATTAAAAACCTTATCAGCACAACACTTGAATGATTTATTAACATATAAGGCAAATAGATTCGATTGGTCTGGAATGTGAATATCATTCACTGAACAAAGTGAAGCACTTCAACTGACTATCAATGGCAGATACTCTTGATAGGCAATAAATAATCTTCGTTAAATGCAAATCGAGAGTCGAGGTCGTAGACTCGACAATAGTTCAG